CGAAACCACTTTTCCACCGCCGCAACCTTCTGTAGCCGTGAGATCCCATCTAGGGGACTTTTCCGGCGTCCTGTCGGAGGGGGATTCAATCACAGAGTTCTTCTACATCAACACCATTACCTCTCGCATGAAGCATGAGTAGTTTACCACAGACCTACGGGTCCATAGCTAGTAGCTAGATGGCTTCTTCTCTCTCTTTGATTCTCAATACCATGTTCTCCTTGATGTTCTTGGAGATCTATTCGATGTAATATTCTTTTGCGGTGTGTTTGCCGAGATCCGATGAATTGTGGATTTATGATCAGATTATCTATGAATGTTATTTGGTTCTTCTCTGAATTCTTATATGCATGATTTGATATCTTTGCAAGTCTCTTTGAATTATCGGTTTAGTTTGGCCTACTAGATTGATCTTTCTTGCAATGGGACAAGTGCTTAACTTTGGGTTTATTCTTGTGGTGTCCTTTCCTAGTGACAGTAGGGGCAGCAAGGCACGTATTGTATTGTTGCCATCGAGGATAAAAATATGGGGTTTTCATCATATTGCTTGAGTTAATTCCTCTACATCATGTCATCTTACTTAATGTGTTACTCTGTTCTTTATGAATTTAATACTCTAGATGCAGGCAGGAGTCGGTCGATGTGTGGAGTAATAGTAGTAGATGCAAAATTGTTTCGGTCTACTTGACACGGATGTGATGCCTATATTCATGATCATTTCCTTAGATATCATCATAACTTTGCGCTTTTCTATCAATTGCTCGGCAGTAATTTGTTCAACCACCGTAATATTTGCTATCTTGAGAGAAGCCACTAGTGAAACCTATGGCCCCCGGGTCTATTTCACATCATATTAGTTTCCCATCAACTTGCCAATTTCTATAGTCATTCCTTATTTTGCAATCTTTACTTTCCAATCTATAAACCAAAAATACCAAAAATATTTACTTTACCGTTTATCTATCTCTATCAGATCTCACTTTTGCAAGTAACCGTGAAGGGATTGACAACCCCTTTATCGCGTTGGGTGCAAGTTGTTGATTGTTTGTGCAGGTATTCGGTGACTTGTGCGTTGTCTCCTACTGGATTGATACCTTGGTTCTCAAACTAAGGGAAATACCTACGGTACTTTGCTGCATCACCCTTTCCTCTTCAAGGAAAAAACCAACGCAAGCTCAAGAGGTAGCAATGCTCCATTATGGAGAATGGAGATTATCCTGTCTCCAATTCTTACGCTTCGCACAATGTTGCTTCCAAGTAGCTCCCTATGATTGTCCATACATTTTTTCCCTTCTTTGATTGTCACGTCTTCATCGGTTTTAGAAATCCGGTATGAACAGCGGTGAAGCCTAGGATGACCTGGTCGTAAGCTAATAACATCAAGGCGACCTTCCGAAAACATCAGATCAGGCACACAATCCTTCGGGTTCTGTTGAAAACATAATAATAATGTCTTAGTTAGCAATGTAGTTTAACTTTAGAAGAAAATTTATGCAAAAGATGCACAAATGTCGTAATAGTAAAAAATCTTACCATTCCATCTCCATGGATGTTACCTTAGTTCAACACGTGCGCTAGTGGCACTTATTGACCACAATGTGCAGGAGTTCCATAATTGATATTGTAATTCTCAACATCAATAATAAATGAGATAAGATGATATGCGCCATCAGTGTAGTAGGTTCTGTCTTGAAGAATGAAAATAAGCTATCAATGAAAATAAGCTGTCAACTATTTTGAAATAAACAATATAAGTTACTTAATAGAGGTAGAAGTGGAAGCGTATCAACAAGGACCCAAATGTCCATATTCTCTTCTTCGATGTCATCTTCAGGATCACCAAGATCGAAGATGACATACATACCCTCCTGAAAATCATACGCCTTGCACACAACTTCCCAATTCGAGCAACCAAAATGGGATACGCTCTTCGAATTGTATAGCTTTACAGCGAAAGCATAGCCATGATGGGTCCTGAGATGGAACTTCCTTTGTCTCCATATTTTCATGATCTTCGTAATTCAGATGCTCCAAGACATAGCGTCTTGCATGGCATGGGATAAGCTAGTCGAATTGTAAAAGATGAAAATTACACGTTGAAGAAGCAGAAGTCATGCTTAATTATGAAAAAAGACTTGTCGTTGCGTACCGTTTCAACAACGAAGGTCTCTTCGAGCTTAATATTGAAGCGCCGACCGTCTACCAGGTGAGGCCTGTCGCACAGACCCCGATCATCGCTGCACCAGTAGCACTTCGGGAGCCTATCATCATCGTCAGACATTTACTATGTTCATAATTCAAAGATTAAACTTCTAAAATTAAATATATGTACTATAAAAACTAAATTAGATCATTATTATTCATCACGGATTGACTACCGGTCTGTCGCGTATTTTCTTGAAAACTCTCAGCTCACGTGGTGTATATATTTGACCGTCGGTGATGGTAGCTCCTCCTTTCGTTCCCAAGTGCATTACACCAAATTGTCTAGCACACGGAAACGAAGGAGAAGCTACCCCCACAACAACACTCGAGATTCTTCATCTCTGACATTTGCGACCATCGGTGATGGTAGCTACCTGTCATTCCAAAGTGCATTACACCAAAATGTTAAGCACCATGGAATGAAGAAGAAGCTACCCCCACGATAGCATTCGGGATTCTTCATCCTCTCATATATGGCGGAGACTCTCCCTCACTGATTCCTCTTTGACATTTGCGACCGTCGGGGATGGTCGTTCTTCTCTTCCTTCCCGTGCATTACCAAAAGGTCTATCACGAGAAAGAAGAGGAAGAACGACCCCCATGACAACGGTCGGCATTCTTATTCTCTCATATATGGTGGACAGTCCCTCACTGTTTTTTGACTGTCATATATGGAGCCCCAACAGACTTAAAGTCAACCCAAAATATCGTTTAATGCTCTTTCCGGCATTTCCAATGCACTTGATATTTCCTACATTATAGCACAAGCCATGCCAAAATTCATGGAAATATCCGGCATGACCTTTGCTAAAAAAGGACATATCGAGCGCCTGAAATTTGCCGGAATGGAAATTAATCAACACTCCGGCAAAACATAGGCCACTCGGAGGTGTTCCCTGCAAACATGGCCACTTGGGCAAGCACATATCCTATTTGAAGCAACACTAGATATACATGTTTATATCTACATCATATGAGCATTCAAACGTGATGGTCATTGCATTTCAATGGTTGAAAATATGAACAAAAACATTTCAATATATCTTATATATAATCCTAACATAACTAAATTTTCCAATATAGGTCTCTCTCTCTAAACTAGTTCTATTAACCACTTACTAAATAAACTAGTTCTATTAACCATTTACTAAATAAACTAGTTCTATTAACCACTTACTAAATAAACTATTTATATTAAACACTTACTAAAAACAATGCAATGTAAGTGTTCTACTCTATTGAACACTTACTAAAATTTCTATTACCCTAGTTCTACCCTAAATTTTCTTACTACAAACTTCTATTAGTAAATTTAATACATAAAAATTTCTATTCTTAAAATTTCAAAAATAGAGGGAGGTGGAGGGAGTAGGAACGAAGGGAGGGGTGAGTGAGGGTGGAAGGGAGGAGGCGGACGGATGAGGCAGGGAGGAGAGGGCAGACGAGGCAGGGGGGTGGGAGGGAGGAGGTGGGAGTGAGGAGGGAGAGGGAGGGTGGGAGGGGTCGGGAGAGGGACGAGGAGGGGAGGGAGGTGGAAGGAGGAGGGATGTAGGAACTACCTCGATGGAGGAGGAGCAGGAGCGTCGACGGCGGCGGGCGACGACGGTGGTCGGGAAGGGCCGAACGTCGGTGGCGGCGGACGATGGGTGCATGGGAGAGTGAGAGTGGGAGTGGAGAGGGGAGAGTGAGGGGCGATCGATGGAGAAGATAGGATGGTTTTAACAATAGCGCGTGTTAGGGGAAAGCGCTACTGTTAAACTACTAGCAGTATCGCGTTTTAAGGAAAGCGCTACTGATACACTTAGCTTGGCGGCAACGGTGGGGCAATTTTAGTACTGGCGCTCTTTGTCCTTGCCGCGCTACTGTTATGTCTATAGCAGTAGCGCCGACTGGACTAGCGCCTCATTTTATCCAGCGCTAGCTACTGCGAAGGTTCTGTATATAAGGTTTTTTCTAGTAGTGTCCCCCTCCACAAATCAAAAATAATAGCACTAAGATTGCCGTGGGATCCAGGTAGCAAGGCGTCACAGAGGCATGCCTCGATATCTTTCCACCCAGCTAGCTACCCGAATCAAAAGGGACATGGCACCAACAATTTCACCAACATGTATTCCAATGTTTAAACTACTATGCCTTAAGATATTCATATGAAGCCGAAACAATGCAAAATATGCAAACAAAATGGTCTGGAGATAGGGGGAGGCGGAATGGGGAATGACGTCGGTGTCCGGTTTCTACTGGCCGAAACTATGTTGTCCGTTGATATGCACATGGAAAGATGGAGGACATCATTTTGGTGTTTTCCCTTATGAATGCCCTTATACACTTCTAAACTTTTTCGCAAAAAAACATATTTCTAAACTTGTGAAAATGCTTGTTTACAGGGAGAATTTTTTTTCTCAATTTTTGTTTTGTGTGGATTTTTTAAGGGAGACAGGACGGCAAAGACTCTCCCTTTTCACCTGCGGGCTGCCCAGCCACGACCGCAACCACCCTCTAATAATAACCAAAAATAAAAGCTTTCGCCCATTCAACCCAACTCTCTGAAGAAAAAAAATACTAAATTGGACGAAACCAGCTATTGCCTCGGCGGCAGATCGCCGGCCGGCGACTCCCACCATTTTTCTAATCGCTCCGTCGGAGGTCACGCCCGCACGCCCAGATCCCGAATTGATTATTGCGGTGATGGGCCGCCACATTCTCTTCCCCGCGGCGAGGAGGATGGTGTAGGCGTAGGCGTAGGAGGAGGATAAGAGCGCCGGCAGGCACCGGGGGGAGGCGGCGGCGGAGGAGGGATGGACGGGCAAAAGCACCACGCCGACAGCCAGAAGCACAATCGAAGGTACGTGCCAGGCAATGCGTGCGTGCGTGCGTCTTCTTCTGCGGATCGGGTCGCGATTTCTGTCGATTTCTTGGCGGAGATTCCCTAAATTGCAGCGCCTTCTTGTTCGATTCGTGAAGGAAAACGTCGACCAAGATGGGCTCCGGCGGAGACCAGGCCAGTCCGCCGGGCGCCAAGGCGGGCGCCGGCGGGGACCAGGCCAATCAACCGGGAGGCACCAAGGCGGGCGCCGGCGGGGACTTTCCCAATCTAGCATGTCCCCCCAAGCCGGGCACCAGCGGCGACCAAGCCACCTCGCCAGGTGCCAAGCTGCGCGCCGGCGACCAAGCCAGCCCGTCAAGTACCAAGATGCGCGCCGGCGACCAAGCCAGCCCGCCAAGTTCCAAGATGCGCGCGGGCGACCAAGCCAGCCCAAGTACCAAGTTTCGCGCCGGCGACCAAGCCAGCCCGCCAAGTACCAAGTTTCGCGCCGGCGACCAAGCCAGCGCGCCAAGTACCAAGTTTCGCGCCGGCGACCAAGCCAATCAAACAGGTTTGCTTGCCCCCTCTGCCCCACCGTTCCTCCCCTTTGCAATCGTGTCATTGCAGAAATGCAGGGGCAAAATCATTGTGGCTTTCATCCGGAACATCGCAGCCCCGTTAATTTCCCCAATTCAAAGCTGTCAAATCTTCAGGCGTTAGCCTCATTTTGATGCAAATGCAGCCTTTGTTTTACAATTTAGCAATTTGCCCATGGTTTGGATAACCAACAATTTGAACAGGAACCACAAGATCTAATAAATATGAGCCACAAATCATGAATAGTGTTGCATTTTTTTTTTAATTTTCCCTAACTGCATTGGACCTATTAGTTTCGAGCACCATCTTGAACATGATGTGTCCTGTCACTCCCCTGAAACAATGCATCATATAAACAATCAGATGGTGTTGCTGCATATACACCCGCTGTTTGCTGCATTGAATGAATTCGCTTCCATGATCACTGCCAGGGCAAATTGCTACAACGGACAGATTAGATCGTCTTTTAAGCCAACCAGCAAACAAATGTTGTGCCGACTGTGGTGCTCCAGATCCAAAATGGGTGTAAGTATTCTTGACCTGTAAGATGTTCCTTTCCTTTTTCTTGCACTGTATACAAATCACTCCACATCTTACAGAAATATCGCGCGTGTAGATGATATTGAATTGTGTAATATCACCCATGTGTTTGGAGGAAGGTTAAGTTACAGCACTATGTGTATTTCTTATTTTCTTATGATATAAGATACTCCCTCTGATCCATATTAATTGTCGCCGATTTAGTACAACTTTGTACTAAATCAGTGACAATTAATATGGATCGGTGGGAGTACTTTTGACTGGCACAGTATCTGAGACTGAGTATTTCCCATTATTCCCAGTCTTTGAATATTGTGGCCTTTGCAGATCATTAACTTTTGGCGCGTTCATCTGTATCAAGTGTTCTGGAGCTCATAGAAGCCTCGGGGTGCACATTTCTAAGGTAGCCACAATATCTATGTATTGTTAGCTATTTGTCATCAGTGTCCTTCCATTTTCAGTTTAATTTCTTACTTGGAATGATTTTTGATTCAGCCATAGGAGATGTTGGCTAAAAATGGATTAAACCTTTCAGTTATATATAGTTAGGCTTTTATTCGCTAGCCCCTTCTGAAACTTGGCAGTGCAACCATTCAGCCATTTTCACTGAGATCTGGGACTTACTTTAGAGCTTGTAGGGACTGTTTGATATTTTGATTGTCCTAGCAATTGCTACTGTCCCAGTCTGTAGAGCAACACATGCAAGGTTGTCAGATATTGGACAGTAAAGCATACTCCCTCCGTTGCAAAATAGATGACCCAACTTTGTACTAAAGTTAGTACAAAGTTGAGTCATCTATTTTGGAACGGAGGGAGTATGTTTCAAGTTTCAGCTATACTTTTCTAGGCTGTACAGTTTTTTCTAACTTGAGAAACACCTGCATAGAGCCACGGCCATACATTAGCAATAAATAAATAAATTCAGAAGCAAGCGTCTTTGACAAACATAATTAGATCATAGGCTTTTTAAAGAAGATACCAGGAACATATAAGTTTGACATTCCCAATATTATTTTCCATTCCCTCGAGATAATATTACTTTTGCTAATGTTCTTAGTATACACAATTTTGCCATGAAATACACACGATAAGTCAGAGTAATGCCAGTTCGCTGGTGCAGATATAATGTTTGGTGGTTCGACTATCCATTTCTGGTGCTTGAGTAGAACCCTGTTTATTTCAGGTAGTCTCAGTGAAGCTAGATGAATGGACAGATGAACAAGTTGATTTTTTGACCGACTCGGGCGGAAATGGCGCAGTAAACAGTACATATGAGGCATTTCTTGGAAATTACACAAAGCCAAGGCAAGATTGCTCATCAGATGACCGAAATGATTTTATAAGGTAATGCCGAACTAGCAAGTTCTTATTCTTTGAGGCACGTGCCACTAGTATAAAAGGTTTCTTTCATATTTGCCCAACACAGCTCTGCCGGTGAATGATGTTTCTCCTTACTCGCATATGTGCAGGAGAAAATATGAGTTTCAACAGTTTTTGTCTAACCAACAGCTTTCATGCTCTTCACAAAACAATGGCAAACATTGTTACCAGCAGCAGCATGCTAGCTCAAATCGACATGGTTTAGGCCATGCTTTCAGGAACAGCTGGAGGAGAAAAGAAGACAAATCAGTAAAGAAACCTGCAGCTGTATGATCAATCATCCCAAATCTATAGTTCAGTTTATACTCTTAACTTGAAATATTATTTTCTTATTTGAACTTATTCTGTCTTAGGTGGAGGTTGGTATGGTAGAGTTTGTTGGATTGATTAAGGTCAACATCATAAGAGGCACAAATCTAGCTATTCGTGATGTGATGTCAAGCGACCCTTATGTTATCCTAAACCTAGGACACCAGGTGAGCTACTCCATTCATTTGCACTGTAACTTAGTTGTGTGAAGTTATTTGTTTTGTGACGCTCCAGATCCCCTTTTCGCCCTTGTAGTCGATGAAAACGAAGGTCATAAAGAGCAGCCTGAATCCTGTATGGAATGAAAGACTTCTGCTATCGATACCCGATCCGGTTCCACTGCTAAAAGTGGTAAATATGTTTTATTTACAGGGGCGATGAAAATAATCAGTAAAATGTGCAGTGCAGTGGTATGGTTTAGGCCGTTTTTTTTCTCTGGGTAACATTTGCCTTCAAATTCTCCTGGCAGCAAGTCTATGACAAGGACACATTTACCACTGACGACCGAATGGGGGAGGCTGAGATAAACATTCAGCCACTGGTTGCTGCAGCCAGAGCCTATGAAACCAAGTCCATCACCGACAATGCCGAGCTCAACAAATGGATGGCGAAAGACGGCATCTGGGTCCCAAGGGACAGTGTCATCTCCATCATCGACAACAAGGTTAAGCAGGAGGTGACTGTCAGGCTTCAGAACGTCGAGCGTGGCCACCTCGAGATGGAGCTCGAGTGCGTCCCGCTCACGCAATAGCTGTGTTGCGCCCGGAACTGTGTCGCCCTAGCATGTTGCTGTCAACATGGTCACATGAAGAATTTCTTTACAGAACACCTGAGACTTGCTTGTGTGATCAATGTGAGTACCTAGGATCCCAATCATACGTTCAAGGCTTTTCTGTAAAAGATATATACCATGTAAAGTTAGAAGGAAGAGACATATTGTGACCTGTAATTTGTCCAGTAAAGTGGAGGTCATTCTAGCATGATTCTGCCTGTTTCACAGTTCCATATGTTGGATCAATTTAATGCACATGAATGAAGAGGGGGTAAGTAAGAAAGTGTTGATCAAATAATTAATAAATCTATCCAAATTGACCACATAGAAACTCTATGTCATTGCAATTCTTATGAGTTTTTTTGTATGTTGGTTCGTCGATTTGTAGTGCTGCAGTAGGGCGGGGCTTTTCTGTCCTTACAGGAGCTGAGAATGCAGTTTTTGCGACCATGGTTTTGTCCTGACTGAGGTTGAGAGTGCTGTTTTTGTTCGTACTATCGTTTGATTTTATGGTGTATTTGACAACTAGTAACTCCTCACACTTTCCAACTAAATAAAAACTCCTCACACTTCCGAATCCAAGAGGCCTTGATACTCAAACACGGAGGAGCATGTTTCGTACGGAAATAAAAAATCTAAAAGGTCCGCAAGCTTGGGGAATTTTTGTATGCTCAAGATAAGGAAAAAAAAAACAATGCAATGTGCACATCTGATATGAGAAGGATGGTTTGTAGCGAAAGAACTAAGAATTTTGAAGGTAAAGGCTTTAGGTTATACATTATGGGGCCACATACCACAATGTCATATTGTGAGAAAAAGAATGTTATCTAGACATAGAAAATTCTATTTAGGACTCTCTTGCACTTTTATTCCACTCGGAGATACTCAGTGATGTAGACTCCTCTAGCCTGTAATAAGGAAAGTGTGATAATGCGTATAGAAGGACTCGATTTGAACCAAGTGCTCAGTGGAGTGTTGAGTCGCGCGACTATGCGTGCGTGCCACTCAAAACTAGCTAAATACACGTGTATTGTAACGGGGGCAAATTTGTTCTACTGGTTCAACGTAGGATTCTTTTTATTGGGTTGAGATTGAGATACGCTACGGGGAAGGAATCCATTGGCAAAGATAAGGACAAAAATATGATGTGATGAGATTGTGTTTGTACTACAACGTGAGTTGATATTTTTTGTTTGTTTGAAAGAGTTTCTCTTTATATTGGCAATTATTTGGCTTCTGTTGATTGCTTTGCAAGAGATTTCTTTCCCTGAAAATAAAGTGGTAGGGGTCGGCTTGGATTTTTTTTAATGGAGATTATCGTGTGGTTTTAGAAGGTGACGCCGATGCGGGGAGAGGAGAAAACTTTGCATTTGCAATTCAAGGGTTAGGGTTAGGGTTTTAGTTGGTAAGTGAGAAATGGTCGGGGTTCAACACGGTTAGAGGGGATGGGTGACAGAGACATGCGGTGTGTGACAGTTGGTTGAGGCGGGGTGGCAAGGTGACACGTGAGATTGCAGGCTATACTGGTCGGAGCAACTAGACGTTGAAGGCGAAGGGGAGTTGTGGATTGCAATGTGACAACGATTTTATTGGCCTTTTTATTTTTCCTTTTAGCAAAAAGGCTAAAGCCATGTATCAAGTTCCACGTGTCTTTACAAACACATCCTTACAAGAAAAAGAAAATACATTCAAAATTTTGAGGGTGCCGAAGTCCTCTTCTCCCTCCTGTATCCGCTTTTTTGCACGCCTCGATGTCGCCCCTGGGCCTCCGCCTTCGCAGAGCAAACTCTTTTAAACCCAAGAGCTCCTAGAAACAGAGACTGCAAACTCATTAACGCCAAGCATTAGATTAAAGTGTTCAACACACCAGAAAAACCAAAAAAATTGTACTACTACTACTAGCAAAGGAAGTTTGAGAGAGTGGGGATTTTTTTCTCCTTTGAATGCCATGAAACCCAACTGAAAAATAAAGTTACACGGCCGCGTTAAGCGTTTCCCAATCTCATCCGTTTGGGATATGGAATTGAAGACTCGACAGTGATGACGCGACGTTGATACTCGGCTCGGCCGGTCAATAAATTTCCTTCGTCCCCGACCTCCCCTTTCCATATTCCTCCGTCCCCCGCCGCCGTGTCCCCATCCCCTCCCCACCCCACCCACCCCAAACCCCGCCCAAAACCCTAGCCGCCGCCCCACCCGCCGCCGCCGCCATGGACGCCGCCGCGCTGGAGGCCCTCATCCTCGACCTGCACGCCATCGAGGCGGTCAAGCTCGGCT